CGGTTTTACTTTTTCTGGTATGATAATCGTCGGCAGATTTTTAACGGTGCCTGTACACACTAAACTGTTTCTGAGCCCTCAAAATTAAGGGGTATTGGCCAACTAGTTGGGGTGGAATTAGTACTAATACGTAATATCCTGATCCGTTGTATACTATTAATCCTCCCGTGATCTTGATATAGTTATCGGGGATTAGACTAATAAACTCATGTACGTATGTACGTACGTACGTACATACGAAATTAAATGTGTTTATTATGGTGCCGGCACTGTTTCCTTTTCCCCAGTAATCAGTTAAGGGGTTGGGTTGGGTAGGGATAGGAATCGGCTATATGATTTAGTCGACTAAATCGACTAAACGTAGTAATTTACATATAAAATTTTTAGTCGACTAAATCGATTCCTATCCCTAGGGTGGGGTAATCGATTAGACGCAGCTTTTATTAATGAATTTTTTATTTTGAGGGTGCTTTGTAAGACGTACAGATCATTTGAATTCGTATTATTAAGATTCAGATCATTACCGTTAAATCAATTATCGTTCATTATTTTTAGGGGCAAGTAAAAAGACCAAATCAGCATTTCCATACCATACCACTTCACTATATTGTATATTAGTTTATGTATTACGCTTGTACGTACTGTACGTACGCACGTACTACAGCAAATACATAAATACATATGCTACGTACGCACACACGTACGTACGAATTTATCAAATTATGGCAAATACTTTAAATAAATTAATTGAAAAAATTATTAATGAAAGAAACGAAGTTATAAAATTTGATTATGATTTATTTAATAATTGCGAGGAATTCAGTAGAAGCCCATTTGGGACTGTTCGAAAAGCGACCTGGAACAATATGACAGTTGTTCTTAAAAGCCTAAATATTAATACTAATGACATAGACGGAATCAATGCCAATGACATTGTAGTTAATGAAACATTTATTGATGCATTTGTTAACGAGGTAATATAGTGCACATTAAGCTGTACGAATTTAATACCTTTGTTTTCATAACATGAAACTCTTAAATAGACCAGCCAGTCGGCTTCTTTTTTTTTTTTGCTAAATTTCATATATAATCATCCTATGAAATTTTTATAACCCACCCTAATCATTAATATTTATTATAAAACGTACCTATGGTGTTTGGCACCTATCATATGTTTTATTATGTTTTATATATTTTTCTAAGTTTTGTATTTAAAGTTTTTAACGCAAAATTTTCACGTTAGGTTAGTATTTAGTATTAGAATTATGGTTTGGCAAGATTTTGGGGCGTAGAACATTTTTACTTAGAATACACCGCGCCGATTAATTAGCTAGTTTTTGAGATAATGTATTCATAGTTGTAAAACGCCATAGGTACATTTAGTAAAAGTCATTATTAAAACATATTAAGTTTTTTTTTTATATTTCCAAAATTTAATTTGCATGCCCTTATATATTTATTAAATTTCTTACTAAATTTAATATCTTAACATTTTTCTGATGTGTAGCTTCAAATACTTATTGCTGTTGACAGACATAGACATCCGAATATTATTCGATTTTATGGAGTCACTAAAGGTGATTCTTCGGCATCTGTTTAAATAATTTATTAAAGTGTCCAAACTTATATGACTTCGGAGATGTTTCGTTGCTTTCGCATAAGTCTGGACATTATAATTTTTATAGACCGATAATTATAATTTTATTTTAACGTTTTCAGATCCTACCAATAACCAGTATAACCTAATTTTACAACTCGCTAATGAAGGGAATTTACGTGATTATTTAAGAATAAACTTTTTAAAACTAGATTGGTCAGATAAACTACGATTTGCACAAGAAATAGCTGAAGGCCTATTGTTTTTACATGATAATGGAATGCTTCATCGAAGCCTTGTAAGAATTTTATATATATTGCATATAAATACATACATATATATTATCTTGAATAATTTTATTTATTTTTGCTTTTTGAATAGCATTCAAAGAACATATTAGTTCACAATCAAAGAATGTTAATTGCTGATTTTGGAATATCTAAATATATGGACCAAGTAACAATGGTCAAAGCTGGAATGTACGGTTATTTTGAACCTCAATGCTTTGCAAACCATCGATATAGATGTGACAAGAGATCTGATATTTACAGTTTTGGAGTAATTCTTTGGGAGATATCTAGTGGTAGACCTCCTTTCTGTTCCTTTGAGAACCAGATAACAATTCTTCTTCATGTTTCAAATGGAGACAGAGAAGACCCAATAGAAAATACACCCGCCGATTACGTTAAACTTTACCAACTTTGTTGGGATCATGATCCTATGATGCGTCCAGAAATTAATGAAGTCCTTAATACATTAAAAAATATTCAATATTCTTTCTATCATGAAAATTGTAATAATCAAGAGACGGTTAATGAAGATATCCAACCATCTAATAGCTTAAGGCCAAAACGTCAAAGGAATCTGTCATTTTTGAAAAAAATATTTTCTTCATCAGACAACATTATTAAAGATGCTCAAACTCATAAAGATGATCTTACTGCCGGATCTTCCCAATCAGTTTTGAAAAAAATGTTTTCTTCAGACAATTTTACTAAAGATACACAAACCCATAAAGTTGGTGTTACTGTCGAATTTTCCCAATCAGATGAAAAATTTTCAACTATTATCAATGCTGAGCATGTAAAAGAAATTCTTTCTTGGATTAATCCTTCATCTCATGATGATTATGAGCTAAAATTAATTCTTAGGGGTAGCGATCGCAAAGATGGATTTAAAAAGAGCACTTTTTACAACAAATGTAAGGACAAAGATAACACAGTGATAGTCTTGAAAGTCGAAAAGACAGGAGAGATTCTTGGAGGATACAACCCCTTAAAATGGGAAAGAATTATAGGGAGAAAATATAAAGAAACTGATGCTAGTTTTATTTTTTCTTTAAAAATAAATGAACAATCCAGTTCTAAACTTAGTAGAGTTAAAAATAAAGACGTTGCAATTTGCTGTATGGAAGACTTTAGACCGTCTTTCGGCTACTTAGATTTATATATGTCTAACAAAAATGAAAAGGTTTGGGGATGTTCAAAAGCAAATTACGAAAAAGAAATCAAAATAGGAGGCGAATTTCTAATTGAAGATTATGAAGTGTTTCAATATTCTCGGATCCATCAACCCAATAGCAATGGTGATACGTCAAAAAGTTAAATTACACCAAAAGTCGGATTCATTAAAATCAACGTTCTTATCTCGAACAACGTCATGAACATCCGAATAAACATTCAGCAGGCTTGGATTTCTAGCAACCAGGGTTGGAAGCAGAGGAAAACATTTGGCCATTTCAAGCATGCTACACCCATATATATCGGGTACCGTTACTCTTTTTATTAGATCGAATTAAGACATACAATAAGGTACCTAAGAAGTAGCAGATTACATAATCGTTGTTCTGAAGATTTTTGTTATTTAGAACGAGTTCACTAAATAATGAATTCTCTTATACCAAATATGTATAAAAGATTTGGTATGACAAATTGGTCAATAATATTTACATAAATTAAGAACGTTATTTCTATTCATCAAAACCATTAGGGGTGTGCCGTCCCACCGAGGTGATAATATCAACAGTCAATCATGTAATATACACATATGATAGAATGCTATCCCATTATCCAAAATAATTACGTAATAAATAGCACTACGTTTAAAAATGTTGGAAGTTATCGCTATTAGATTACTTCGATTAAAATCTTTGTGAACATCTAGTTACTTTGACAGACATATAAGATATTTTAAGTCATAGAAGAATTTAAAAATTGTGCGATTAATAAAAAAAAGTAAAGTTTCTTTTTTTTTAATAATAACCAATTACTCTCTTATCATACAGTATGATCATCTAAATTAGGGTTTAGGGTATCAGCGCGCGTATGCGTGTTAACTTTATAATATTGTTTCTAGTAGCATGATGTACTTAATTAGGCCAGACCAATTTGATTTGGTGGTTTACATTACCTTTCTTAGAAAAAAATTTTTTGGGATATATATAATTTTGGCCGGAGAGTTAATGCCGGGCGGAATTAAGATTAGAAATTGTAAAGTTCCGAAAAGTTCCGAAGAGAAAATGAACGAACATAAAAGACGAGTAAGGTCAGCCGATAATTTCCGATTGAAAGTATTCGTTCCATTTTGAAGAAGGTATGTAATGTAAACCACCAAATTAAGTTGATCTCGCCTTATCATGCTATTGTAAAAAAGTACACATACAAGACACGGGTCTATTTAAAACCAGAGTGATCCAAATGGGTTGAATTAGCGAGGGTCAAGTGTACATACACGCTTTGTATTTATAATAGGTGCCTAACTAATTGCATTAGATTAATAGATTCCGCGGTCCGCACCCCGTAGTGAGTCTATTGTTTTGGGGATCTTGTATATGCGCTTTTACGTCATATTGCATTAATACAACGGATGCTTATCTTAAATATAATGATGCATTAGCTATGATATAGAGATTTTACTTATTTTCGCAAGTAATACAAGGAAATCCGATTTTGTAAAAAAATTTAGGGTTAGGGCCTTAATGTTAGAGGTTACATAAAAAAATATTAACGCTCATTAAAAAAAATATTAACGAAAAATATTAACGCTCATTAAAAAAAATATTAACGCTCATTAAAAAAAATATTAACGCTCATTAAAAAAAATATTAACGCTCATTATATGTAAAATTTAATTCCCGACATTTTTAATTAGTGCGTCAAGGTCGACTTAAACACTAGTTTTTGAGAATTCTTGCCTTTTTCCTCTTTTGCGTGTTCGGGAATAGTCAAAATTCTCTAATTGGCTATTTCCTTTTTAAGAGTTTGTATTACTCGCAAGTGTTCTTCCTGATATTCGGGTTGTAGCACGTGGGTGCGTAATCTTGCCGATTACATGTTTGATACTGAACTAGGATGAACATTAATGAAGAAATTACTAACAATTTTTCACAAATTTCAAATCTTTGTATAAAATTTGTGTAATATTGAACAAAAAAGGCTTTGATGAAAGATGCTTCCATGTTTCCATGTAAATTTCCCGATAAAGATTGTGTTAACGTTAAAGTTTACGGATAATCATTCGGAATTTGACTAAATTAAGGTTGTGATTTTTTTAGGTTTTGAGTAAATTCATTCGTATGAATATTTTCTTAGTCTTCCTTACTTTTCAGCCATGAATAATAACGACAGAGCACTAGACGAAGCCATTAATGAAGACCCAATGATAGATGAAGACAATAATGACAACAAAGCGCTAGGAGAAGACATTCCGCCGCTGATTAGGAAGGGAATCATTTCTGAATTTTCAGGATTATTAGGGTTTAATATAAATAATATAATTGGGGCTGGTCCGTATTTTAAATTTTATTGCACTAACTTTTGCGATGAAGCTCATTCTTACTTTCATCTATATAAGGGATTTTTGTGACTCCCACTAGCATATGGCAACTAGTACAATCGCCAGGAACAGCTTTAATGCTTTGGATTGCTGGTGGCCTTATAAGCCTATTTGGTAGCATGATTTATGTCGAGGTAAAATTTATAAAATTTTTGACAAAAAAAAAAAAAAATCGGTTTTACTAAATCGCATCAGTGGTATTCAACACTACACAGTTGCTATATCTCAAAAATGTACTAGCTAACACACGTCAGGGGTGCTAAGCAAAAATGTTCAGCCCCCCAAAAAAACCTCACCCTAACTAATATACCTATATCTTTACTATAGTTCAGATTCATAACTAAAGTTTACTAGCAAAACTATTAAAAAAATATGTGGTGTTGAATACAACCGGTGTGATTTAATAAAACTGAAAAAAAAAACACTTCACATTTATTTTTTATAACCTACACAGTTAGGAACTAGATTTCCTAGAGGATCAGGGGAGCAAAAATATCTTGAGGAAACGTTTTCTAGATTCAATAATTTTGGGCATATATTCAGTTTTGTTATGATCACGTATGTACGCACATGAATTTCTGAATAGGTCCCATCCAAAAAGTATCAGACTTTTCGAAGTTCGAGACCGAAACACAAAGATCAAAATCCTTAATATTATCTCAATTTAACATTAACTACCATTTATAATTTTGATTGGAATCCGTGTAACTTTCATGTAATGACTTTATTACAGTATAATCGTATACACAAGCTTGGTTTGGGTTCGTGTTATTTCATTACCACAGTCATCTAACCGACATTGCATAGTAGAGCTTGGATCCGGTTATCCGTTGGATGCAAATTTAATAGTAAAATCCGTCGGATATCCGTTAAATCTAATATGAAAACGGATGACCGGATCCAAGCTCTATTGCATAGGATGACAATTTACAAATTATATATGCTAAAAACTAATAATATGCTAAATTGTCACCCTAAGTGATGTCGGTTAAATGACTTGCAGGTGAAATGACCATTAGCGAAGTGATTGCCGCCGATTGTATTGTTCGGCCATGGTGTAACGACCGGATAATTCTAATTTCAATAATTTATTCGTTATTTAGACAAATCTTGATTTCAGATAATTACAGTAATAAATCGCTATTCGTAACGATAATGATAACGGTAATGCAATACATAATCATGACTTACAAGTCACTCTTAGCTACGTACGTAATTGAGTTTTGTTATGTTTATGTCATTGCTAAGGATAACACGAAACAAAATCCATGCTTATAAGTGTATACATAATAGATTAAACAGATACAGAAAAACTCCATTTTATCCGAATGGATAGACAGATATCACTTTTGTAAAAATAATTCAAACGACAATAACTTTTAAAACTGAACCTATACGAGTAAAATTATAGTTATTGAATTCCTTTTAGCGTGTCTTTACATTAATAGAGCTTATTTTATTTTCGGGTTAAATTATATGAAAACAGAAAAAATTAAAATGCACGCTGAGAGGAATTCAATCCATATAATTTTTGCTTGCATAGGTTTGGTAGTTTATAAGTTATTATTATTTGAATTATGCGTACCGTATACTGTATTACCGAATAAAAGCAACCAAGATGTTGCAAAAGGAATTTTTCGAGCCAAATAAAGAAATTTTTCTATTCGAGCCTAATTTTATTAGCGTTAATAAAACATAATTACCATCGTCAAATTTCCGGCTCCAAAGTTTGGGATTGCTTATAATTGGTAACGGTAACATACAATAAATATAATTTAGGGTCAGAATTCATTGAAGCTAGGCAATAATACAAACAGGTTATTGCTTCATTAGTGATTTTGGGTTCCAATGGATTCTGATCTGGAATTTTGGTCTACTGTATCTGCTGAATTTTGGTTGTGCCACTAATCTATGTTAGACCGATGATAAACAACCATGTGAGGTTATACTAGTATTATTTTTTATATTATTAGATAGAAATTCCTTACCATAGTATATACCTACGTAAATTATTTTGTGATTATGCTGTTCCATGGTGAATATTTTCTAAGCAAGGGATGTGTTATTGGGTTGCGGCCTGAATTAAGGCCGCAGCTCAGAATAACCGGCTGATGCTGGACCGATGGGATGCTTCTATGACAGTTGATTGAAATTGAACTTCAGCGCTCATAAACTCTAATTTTTAATTTATAACAATTCCTTAATAATAATCCCAAATTCTTAAAGTATAATCCTTCCTGGGGCAATTATAGCGGATGTTCACTCGTCCTCTAAATATCTTCTCTATGCAATTAAAGGCATTGATGGAGATGAAGATAAATATTTTGGCCCAGATTATATGTAAGCTTTTTTTGTTTTGTTTTGTTTGTTTGTCTGAATATATATATATATTTCATTTTAAAATTATTTTACACTTAGAGAATTGCGGATTATAGCAATCGCTATTTTGCTAATTATTACTGCGTATCATATGTATTCCAGTAAATTAGCAATCAAAATTAATACGGCATTTGCCATAATTAAAATTTTGATTCTGATTATCATTTCAGTAGTTGGATTAATAAGATTAAAAGAAGCTGATTCCAAAAATAATTGGACTGCCATTTTCAATAATATATCATCAGATCAAAGATCTATTTCAGAGCAGATTGGAAATCATGTTAATGCTATGTTAAAGGTAAATATATGGTAACTCCTGAAATAGCAACTTCACTTTTTTTTAAGCTCCGAATTTATAGTTCGAGTACTAATGACTTTAAGAGATGCAAACAAACTATTATTGATTACTCGAACAAACATATTCCAAACCTAAAAAAAAGCGAACTCCAAAAGACCGCTATTTCAGGTTTTCTCTGCTGGCGTCATTTATATTATATAATATTTTTTAAATTGTTGACTTAAAGTTTACGTGAAATTATAGATTCTATTTTCTTATGAAGGTGCGTTAATAAACTCTTGCGCACTTATTTATTAAATTATTAACCTATAATTAATTCATGTATCCTTGTATACATATTATACATATATAAAGGGTGGAATAATTTAAATTGTAAGTGAATTCATTAAACTATTATAACGTTTGTTAAAAGGTTCGACTCTGTTATGTTTGTGATAATATAGAAATTTCTAAAATTCCCAATAGTATATCAATAATGTTTCAGCCATTATTTATTTATTTGAAATTGGATTTTTCTATCTTACATGGCATTGTAATCAAACCTTTTTGCAATAATATCTATTAGAAATAAGATTAAGAATTGTTTTTTTTAGACTCAACCGAAGAATTAAAGACTCCAAACCAAAGGTTAAAATATTCAACTATCTTTAGTGTGATCATTTCTCTTATACTTTGTAAGTTCTATATATATATTCATTATATTTATAGTTATATATATATATCAGAATTAAACTTTTTTTATTACAGATCCATTAACTCAAATGGCTTTTATAACGGTTGTCGACCCTAAACATGCTATTTACTCTAATGATACTATTGCTATAGAATTTGGACGCACCATATTTGGTGAGCCCGGAAGGATAATTATTGCAATATGTATTTTAATTTCTTCTTCTGGATGTGTGGGTTCATTGATTTTTATGTAAGACTATTAAATTTTACTAAATATACAGTTGTAAAATATTTAAAGTATTTATAAAAACGGCTAAAAAATTTTAAATAGGGGCTCTCGAGTTATAACTTATTCGGCCGAAACTGGATTTATACCAATAATATCAAATATCTTGTACAATTGGCATGAAACATTTGATACACCGTTTAATGCATTGATTTTGCAATTTGGTTATTGCGCACTTTTACTTCTTTTATTCCCGGTAGGCTCAAGTTTTTTTTCATTTTTTTCCGATATGTCGCAGTACTTGGCGATGGTTTTCTATGGTGTCAGCGCAATTTGTTTATTGGTGAGTTAAATTAATTATTATACTGTGCTTAATTTAATCGATTAACCAAGTTATCTAAAAATTTTACCAATTTCAAATTAGGTTGTGCGGTACCATATGAGTGATCAATACACTAATTTTAAAGTACATCCAATTATTGTTGTATTTTATATTTTATGCACTGCATTCATTGCTGTGGCATCATTTATTCCAACTTTGCCAATACACGAGAAACTCAATTATGGATCATATGTACCATTTGTTGTTTCATGGATCGCTGTATTGGTAGGAACGGGTATTTGGTATCTCCACGATTATAGACGTTTCTTTTAATGTATTTAGAACCAACCAAATGAACTTGATATTTATTATCCCGTAATTTATAATGCAAGCAAATTTGCCTGTATTTTATAAAAACTTTTTAATTCTTAATGAACATTTAATGCTTTAGATATATACTTTCCATACAAAAAAAAATAAATTTTTTTTAATTTATTAAGAAATTTTTTAAATTTATGAAAAAAAAATCAAAATTTATACTAGAACTTTCATAATTTTTAAAATTTTATATTCAGTATTTCTGAGTCTAAAAAAATTCTTGTTAAAATACAGGTTTTAATTTTACAATTAAACTATAATCACAATTTACTATTTAAAATTTGTGAATTACATATTTGATTTATCAATAACACTATTTTATCCTTAAATCGATTTGCCTGTAAATTTTTGATCAAACTTTTTGCTAATACAACTTACATAAGCACAATATTGGCCATTGGCATATGTGATATTATTACAAAACTACTTACAAAGGCTTTTTAAAAAAGGATTTCTTTTAATTTAACGGAATAACTTGCTTTATAATATTGGTTAGAAACTCAAAAAAAACTGTTTACTGTAAGCTAGCTACATTTCAACTTTATAAAAAACTATATTAACTTATAATGATTTCTGCTATTAAATTTGCTATTTTTTTTTATCTTTAACTGGATTTGTTTCTTAATTTATTATTTTCATATGATATATACTATTTAATTTAAAAAATGGAATTTTTGAATAATCCCGAATACTGTATGCAGTGCTGTATGGTAATATTCATGAATAATTTATGTTGGAATGATGCTGAAATTTTG